ACTCTATTTATTTATATTGTTATTTTATTATTTTATATTAGTATATTAAGTAGAAAAAGATTAACAAAGTAATTAATAGATTAACAAATTAGTTAAATTGATTAACAAATTAGCTAATTGATAAGCAAATTAGTAGATTAGCAGAATTAACAAGATTAGCAAAGAAACAGTTACCTTTTCTACTGTTTTTTACCTTTTCTACCTTACTTTTTCTACTGTTTTTACTTTTTCTACCTTTTTTACTGTTTCTTATTATTTTAAAAGATATATAAACTCTGGCTTTTTCCTTTCCTGTCAGATAGTTCAAATTAAATCCAGGTATTTCTTTAATTATAATATTCCTTCTTATAATTAAAGTTTTATAAACAAGTAAATAAAATATATTTTTCTTTAACTATATACCTTCCTCGAACTGCTCTAGTGAAGTTACATTTTACTTCTACACTATTATATATCATAAAAAATCTCTGTAATTGTGTGCTTTGTTACTTGTACTGTATTAAAAAGACTACAGTTCACTTGTAACAATATGATCAGCATAAGAAAACATTTTTTGTGCTTTAACAAAAAGTTTTTGTTAAACAATTCTAATCTTATTAAATTTTAAGAATTTTGTCTGTGTGCTAACCTTGTATATATTTTTGATAGTGTTCGAAAACGGATTAAAAATCCTGGTTAATCCGGAATTGATCCGAATCCGATCCGAATCCATAATTCGGATTGAATCTGAGAGTGATTCGCGCCAATCTGACGGTTTGTCACATATATTTGTCACAATATAAGTGATAAATTCGAATTTATCACGTGACAAATTTGAATTTATCACTAATATTGTGACACAAGATATGATATATTCGAATTTATCACGTGACAAATTTGAATTTATTACATAGAGTGATTATATAAAGACATGACCTAAAATTAGGCCCAATCCCGCTCAATCCGGGCCCAATCCGAAGTTTCAGGGGCCAAACCTAATCTGACGGTTTGGATCTGTACAAATCTGAATCTGATCCGTGCTGACTTTTCAAACACTAATTTTTGATATACAATTTAATTAGCAAAGATTATTTAATTAATTAAGGGTATTAATTATTCCAATTAACAAGAGATGAAGGCTTAGACATCTTTTTTTCATAAAGTTATGCTTATTGACAGAAATTTTTCATTAATTAATTAAAAAATTTAATTATTCAAGTACTTTTTTTTTTTGCATTATAGATCTTAAAAATCATTATTAATATTAATAAATTAGACCAGATCAAGTTAAATTTTTGAAAGTGACCTAGCAGCCCATCTTTTAATTTTTATTTTCAAAAAAATTTATATATAAAAAAATATAAAATTTTGGATGTTCTATAAAATAGGTGGGCAATATAAAAAATAAGCTTCGCTAATAATTAGTAATTATTAATTTTTTAATATCAGAGTTGCGGAGTTAGCAGAGTTTGCCCACCTATTCTATAAAACATCCAAAATTTTTTATAAATTTTTCAGAAAAACCCATCTGAATAGTAAATATACTTAAAAAATTTTTTTTAAAGGTTTGTAAAATTTAACCCAGCCAGGTTATGAGAACCAAAAAATTAACTTGGCCTGGTCTTATTAGATATTTTAAAATTTTATTTATATATTAATTACTTTTTTGAATTCTTTATTTGATTTATTTGTCACAATAGAATTCAAAAAAGTTAAGTTAGACATTTTTATTGTGCAGTAATATATAAAAGTTAATAAAGTCTAAAAATGAAGAAAGGAAAATGACAAAAGTAATGTGATTTTTTAGAGAAGAGGGAAAGTAAAAAATTTAAAATTATATATAAAAACCTAATCAAAATATATATTAAGAGGAGGAGGAGGGTAAGTTTCTAATAAAAAAAAATCAGATGATAAATAACAGTTATTTTACTGTTAACTTTAAGTAAAATCTAAAGAAGAAACAAAACTTGTAATTGTTGAAAATGGTGTTTTTATAATTTTTTGTTAATTCATCATAATAATCGCTAAATGATAATGATAAAATGTTTGCTCAAGCATCAATTGCAATCAATATTTTATCGTAACACTTGAGCATCATCACGATCATAAACTAACCACATTGAGGAAGATACGTAGCGTAATTCAATTATACTACCATTCGTACTATTGGACTTCAACGATGGCCTAATTAAATATTACTATATATAATGGTTGTGCACTATACAATCACTAGCTAATCACATCGAGCGTGCTGCTTGAGAACACCCTAAATCAAACTTTACGGGATATTTAAAACTGTTACAGCAAAAGCATTATTACAGCGTATGTTGGATAAGCCATGTTGTAAGTGGAAACGGAATCTCACTAGAATCAGAATTTCCATCAGGATTACATATGACAAACGCTGCCCTAAAATACTAGAATTCTGAATCCTTTTATTTACAAGTCAAAAATTTACGGCACACGAATATTACAAGTTTTACGGCACGTGTCAAATGTCAAATGTTATGGCAAACGCTTTTTGACGTATCGACATATCTTCGAGTTACATCTAATTGACGTTAAGATCAATTGATCAATTACAACACTGGCATATGCCTGCATCTGTAGTTTAGGGATAGGTTTATAATAAACAAGTATAAGTGGATTTTAGGGGAGGACAAATAGAAACCCCTCATTTCATTTTCATTTTGATTCACGACAATCCTTAAATCAATAATTATGAAATTTTGAATTCCGAACCTTGTTTAGAAAACTGCTTTTATCGTCCTAAAAAAAATTCCTTGCAAATTTGAGTTAGGAGATTTTTTAATCGTCTTACCCAAGCTCCAAACTCTAAATAAATGCATCTCCGTAAGTCCACAATGTGCTGCTAACAGTACTACGTAATAATAACACAAAAATAAGAATATCTGATATATTATAAAAGTATATCTATTGCTATATTCGTATAAACAAGAGTTAACATTGAAGCACTAATAGTCTTTTGCTATTTATGTGTAACATGAATGGATAATTCTCAATTCAGCAATAGACCGAATCAAGTAATTCCAGTAATTCTTGATAATGCTAACACAAATAGTTGCACAAATTGCATAATGATAATAAACCGTAATAAATTTTTTTTCATTAAAGCGACCCGTTTTACTATCAATCTAAACTTTTTACATCTGCTGTATTAATTAAACTAAAAGGATGGCGGCAGAGTACAAGCAAATTTTGAATGAAATTCAAAAACAAAATGGTAACAAGGTAAAATATTGTTTTCTTTGTAATAATTTGATTAAAAAGGATTCATAGAAGAATGACTTTTTTTATGTAGAACTGTGTGGATTGTGGAGCACCGAATCCACAGTGGGCTTCAGTTTCTTTTGGTATTTTTATTTGTTTAGAATGTTCAGGTGTACATCGATCATTTGGGGTTCATGTTAGGTTTGTATCGATGAGGTTTATTTTGAACATGTAGACTATGATATAGTGCTAGACCACATTAAATCGTCACCCTTAAGTGATAAATATTGAAATTTTGGGTAGACAGATCGAATGAATAATCTTACAATGTTATGACGAAATTAATTTTCGCGATTTCAATTATGATGTCAAGGAAACATCAACAAGTGGGTAAACCTTATTTATTTATTGTGATCTTATTGTTATATTATTCAAATTCAGTTTTGTTCGTTCAATCACGATGGATAAATGGTATGAAGATCAAATAAAAAAGATGAAAGTAAGTTTGTAAATTTCTTTTATGATTAATTCAAAAATCTGAAATATTATTTAAATAACAAAAAAATATTACTTTTAAATAAGCTTGGAGGTAACACAGCATGGCGAGATTTTTACGAAGCTTCATCAGAATATGATCCAGAGATGTCTTTAAGAGACAAATATCATAGTAGCTTTGCATCAAATTACCGAGAAAAGGTTCGAAATATCACATTCATAATTATTTGTCATAATTATTTGTCATAATAATTTGAAGAATAATTAAAATAATTTAAATTTAATATATGTTCACTTTAGTTAACAGCACAATGTGAAGGAAGAAAATGGACATCGCCATCTTCAACATCAATGAGTCGCCAATCAAACCGTCCTACATCAATCAGTGGCAAACGTACTTCTGTTCAAACACCTAATCGAGCAGATACTTCAAGTCCTACGTCTTATAAATCATATCAATTAGATAATAATATTAACGGAACCTTACCAAACGAAACACGTAATGATGCATATTTTGCAAATCTTGGACGTGCAAATGAAAACAGACCGGATAATGTACCACCAAGTCAAGGTGGAAAATATACTGGATTTGGTAATCCTGCATTTACGAATGAACCTTCAACGACCTCAAAATCTGCACCGGATCTAGACGAATTAATAAAAAACCCTGTTGGTGCTTTGACTAAAGGTTTAAACTTTTTGGGATATCATGTTGTAGAAGGGGCTAAATTAGCTGCGCAAGGTGCAGAAACCTTAGGACATACTGTTAATGAGCACGTGATAAAGCCTACTACCGACAAAGTCAGAGATCCGGAATTCACTCAACAGATTTCTGGGTACGTGACAGGGATTGGTAAAACGGTACGTAATTTGATTTCATCAATAATAAAGGTTTTTTTTTGTAATTACAACAAAATTATTAATAAAAGTTTTATATAGGTTACTGAGACTGCATCTCGTGGAATTTCGACCATCTCCACATCTGCAAG